ATTACTTTAAACAACTCTATAAAATGGCATAGGGCTAGAAAGTGAAATGAACGCTCTGAAAATGAGTGATATATATGAATTAACTACACTCCCGAAAGGTAAAACCTTTGCTGGAAGTCGAATGGCCTACACTATTAAATGTATTAAAAATGGCGACGGACAATACAGAGCTCGGTTTGTTGCCCAAGGTTACAAACGCACGAAATATATTATAATGAAACTTTCTTCCCCACAGCACGTTTATCGTCTGTAAGGACTTTAATACAATTAACTATTCAACACAATTTATCTCTCCACCGCATAGGTAAGTGAGTCGATTGACTGCGAGGTGTATGTAGAATAATCAAAAGGCTTTCTAACGAAAGATAAAAACAATGAAAATCTTGTATGGAGTTTAAAAACGTCATTATATGGACTTAAACAAAATTTGGTGAAATTGGAAGATCCTACTACACACATATTTAAGTGGTCAGGGTTTCTTTCGATTTTTAACAGCCTCTTGCATTTAAATAAAAAAGTATTTAAAATAAAATTGTATTTGTAATCGTATGGTTTGATCACATCATTATTATTAATGAATGTAAAAAAAAGTATTTAAATGTAACATTTAAAATAAGAGATCTCGTAGACGTTTCGTTTCAGGTATACAATTTTCATTTTAAAAACAACTCTTTTTGAGATAAATAAGTGTCTATATATTGAAAAGTTTAAGGCTATATTTGGAATGCAACATTGCAAAAGCCGATTAATTAGTTGTGAATTCGAACATCAATAAACTGGAAGAAAAGAAATGCTGAACCAGTAAATGAAAAAAATATTACCGTGAAATAGTCGATAGCTTGATATAGGGATCCATTACGTCTCAGAAACACTGGTCTAAGGAACACTGCTCTAAAGAATATACGTGTAAGAAATATTCATCTAGAGAATTATGGTCTAATGTGGGCTGTATGAATAGACAAACAATGCATGACAATAAATGCTTATAAACCACATATATCACCAATAATTAATGTTGCTATAAGTTCTTTAAATATTCTGTAATATAGTGAATATCTATATGATTATGTATTTTGTACAGAAATAAGGTGTTAATTTATTAAAAATATTATCATATACATTTGGTCCTTAGACGGGTAGTCCATAGACTAATGGTCCATAGACGAGTATTTTTAGACCAATGCTATTTATAGACGAGTATTCCTTAGATTAATATCTTTAGACAGGTTTCCCTTAGATGAATATTCCTAAATCCATGCCACTTATAGGCAGCATTAAAATAATACTACTTAATATTTTATCGTCATGGCTTGGCTTCGCAAAAACGAAGATTAAGAAAATGTCTGTACACGTCGCTTGCAGGAACGTTTGTAACTATATATATATATATATATATATATATATATATATATATATATATATATATATATATATATAGTGTAACTCGGATATAAGAGAGTTGTCGGGACCGGAGAAGAAGTCTCTTATATCCGGGTTTCTCTTATATCCGGGTTTGGTCTATTTTATATACATTAACACAGGCTCTAATTTGGGACCAGAGAAAATCTCTTTTATATCCGGGTCTCTTAAATCCGGTTTACACTATATATATATATATATATATATATATATATATATATATATATATATATATATATATAAAGAGATTACTGCAAATTGTATTTTCCATATCAAAGGTATGAGATTATCAAAGCCAAACATTGGTTTCAAGTGTTCATTAAGATAGTTATAAATTCCGAGTCTCCTTAATGTGCTGCATAGTAGTACAACTGCAATAAACATTATATTGAATTTAATGTAAATATTATTGGTTTTGTACTACATAGTCGTAATAGAGAAAACAATACTGTTTTGCTTCGTAGGAATATAGGCCACTCGAAGGTACACTGGTCTAAGAAATATTGGTCTAAAGAGCACTCATCTAAAGAATATACGTCTAAGAAATATTCGTCTACAGAATTATGGTCCAGTGTGGGTTGTATTAGTATACAAACAATGCGTGCAAATAAATGCTTATAAACCATATGTACCATCAGTAATTAATGTTGCTATAAGTATCTTAAATATTATTCTGTAATAAAATTGAGTATTTGTACATGAATAAAGTGTTAATTTATTAAGAAATATTATTATAAACCAATGGTTTTTTAGGCGGGTATTCCATAGAGCAATGTTCCTTAGATAGGTATTCCATAGAGCAATAGCCCTAGGCGGGTATTCCATAGAGTAATGGTCCTTAGATGGGTATTCCATAGAGCAATAGCCCTAGGCGAGTATTCGATAGAGTAATGGTTCTTAGACGGGTATTCCATAAAGCAATGTTACTTAGACGGGTATTCTATAGAGCAATGGTCTTTAGATGGGTATTTCATAGAGCAATGGTCATTAGGCGGGTATTCCATAGACATATGTCCTTAGACAGAATTCCCTTACACCAATATTCTTTAGACGACTGTTTCTAAATCCGTTGACTGCAAATCATCCAGATATGATACGTTGTGATAAATTTATCACAATATTTAATAAAACCGACAATGAATCACTTGATAAAAGCCAAACAAGTCCCATACTTTTTTCTCGGGCAAAAAAACACATTATCTAGTGTTTATATAGATCGCATATCCCCTTAAGAGGATTTTGCCATGTTGATTAGGGAAATTTAAAGGAGCGTATATGGTATAGTTCTATGATCTCTTGGAAAACAAGAAACAACCCAACCCATTGTCAATGGGCAAAGGAAATATGTGGTATTAGAAGCCGCAATAAACAAATCAAAACCCCTTACCCAGTTATTAGATACCATGATTAATTTAAATGAAAATAAGCATTCCACTATTTATTGTTACAATCAAGGAAGTATCAAGGAATAAAGTGAAAGAATGGTGCAATAAAGTTGAACTCTTTTCCACCAGAACAACATGTCGCTGATTTATTCACAAAGCCTTTCACCAGAGTAAAATCGCAGACATTTTTCAATACACTGAATGTAACACAACCCGAAACAACTTTTTATTTGCGCTTTTTAAGGCCTATCTTTTTTTCTACCAATTGTGATATAAAAATAAAACATAAAAGTAAAATAATGCAAAAAATTGAATATTTGTAAGTATTTTGTTCATATTTTTGTATTATTTCAAACTATTGTCCTCATCTTGGTTTATATAGATCCAAGGATTGAACTCACACCACTAAATGAGTGTAACGCATATATAACCAAATCCTCTATTCATTATGTCATAATCCCGAAGGAGATTAGCGGTACTGACGCACCATTTCAGCAGGTACGAAAAATAACTGATATCACAAAGACAAAATATCAAAATAATGAACAGATATCCCATATCAGCGAATCAATGAACACCTGATGATGACTAGAGGGTAATCAGTCGAAACGTTGAGAGATTTTCGTATATCTTTTCAGCTTTTATTTTGCATTCAGAGAAGTCTCGAATGCACCGTTTCCATCAGGAAAGTTTTTCCGGTGCTATGATTATTTGCATGGAACTTCCAGTCATCTCAGTTTACAAGATCCACTGATTCTCTCAGACAATCCTGCTAATGCTTCTTTGGCGTATGGACTGTTCGCTTTCCATTAGCAAGCTCTTTGGAACCCTGTTGGGTCTATACTAACAGCATCTGTATCACTCAAGATGAGAGCAACAGTTCAAAATAATACAAGAATATTAACAATTACTCATCCCAGAAATGAAATAGTAAAATGTTTTGTTCATAATTATTAAATCGATAGAGTAGCGTAATGGGTGCTCTATTTAATCCGATTGAATGGGGATGCTGCATTTAATCACACTGCGAAAAAATCCCCCAAAACGTATAGAGCAATTTCACAGAAATATACTGGGATTTTTTAATCAATAAGAAAGACAATTTTAGTCTTTCTGGCAGTTTTTTCTTGCCTCGAAGCCATAAGACTATAAACATTAGACTGTATCCCGTTATTGTATGAACACTGTTAATTTTTTACTATCTTATAATGGATTTACCTATCTATTGTCTTATAGTTGCTTTTACATTGTTTATTTTATTATTTTGCTCTTTTCTTATCTTTATCATTGGGATATTTTGTCAATTCCACTTAAAAATGCCCGCTTATTCAACGAATGTAGCTCTACATATATCAACAAAAATGGCGGCACTCCTTTATCCCTTCACACGTTTCTTTTTGTGATATTTACTTAAAAGTGTTACTTTTGTTGCTTTCAAATCTTTAAGTATTCCGGATCGTTTCCCCCTGTAGACATTCACATGTTCAAATATATTTTGCTGGTCAATCCACCTGCCTCGCCGATAAAACGTTTAATTTTTCCCAAATCCTTTTTTTGAGACATTCATAAATAGATGTTTGTTTTTGTCAAGGTTTGCAATTTATTGTTCTGTGATCTTTGCTGGGATTTCTTTTTCTTTCTCACAATTCCGTAGTTGTGTTGCTATCACTCAATAACATTACAATAACGTTTTCTCTATTTCAGGTTATATCTTTCTCATGGCCCATGGCAATTTCCATAAATCTGATTATTAAAAAATAAATATCAATAATGATACTGTTATATATCTTCATTTATATGCTGAACAAACATCGAGTTACATCACGAATAGATTATTTATTGTAAACATTTCAAGCTAAATATTATACGCTGAAACTCACATGCTAGATTTGTGAAAAAAATATAATTATAGCCTGAGTAGTTTCGCAAACTTTACTTGGTTTGTACTACCTTTGTTGGGAAAATAGCTTGAATAATAAAATAACTCAATATATATATATATATATATATATATATATATATTATATATATATATATATATATATATATATATTTATTATTACATCATACATTATTATTGGATATTCGTATTTGCAATAGACCATCCAATTTTTATTTTTACTTTAAACACTGTGTATTGCATTTATCTGCCTGTGTGCCCTTTCTCTCTCCCCCTGCCTCTTTTTCTTTCTCCCCATGCCTCTCTTTCTCTCTCCCTCTGCCTCTCTTTCTCTCACCCCCCTCTCTTTCTCTCTCCCCATGCCTTTTTTTTCTTCCCCTTGCCTCTCTTTCTCTCCCCGCCTCTCTTTATCTCTCCCCTGCCTCTCTTTCTCTACCCCCGCCTCTCTTTCTCTCTCCCCATGCCCTCTTTCTCTCCCCCATGACTCTCTTTTCTTCCCCTGCCTCTCTTTCTCTCTCCCCATGCCTCTTTCTATCTCCCCGCCTCTCTTTCTCTCTCCCCCCTGTCTCTCTTTCTCTACCCCTGCCTCTCTCTCTCTACCCCCCTCTCTTTCTCTCTCCCCACTGCCTCTCTTTCTCTCCCCTGACTCTCTTTCTCTCCCCTGCCTCTTCTCTCTCCCCACTGCCTCTCTTTCTCTCCCCTGCCTCTCTTTCACTTCCCCTGCCTCTCTTTCTCTCTCTCCATGCCTCTTTCTATCTCCCCCGCCTCTCTTTCTCTCTCCCCTGCCTCTCTCTCTCTCCCCCTGCCTCTCTCTCTCTCCCCCTGCCTCTCTTTCTCTCTCCCCCTGCCTCTCTCTCTCTCTCTCTCTCTTTGTATTTCTCTATTTATCTAATAAAACCTACCGAGCGTAACATCAAACTTGTCCAAAACGTGTACAAGCAAAATTGTCCAATTGTTTGATTAAGCCCTGAAACGTTGTATTTTAGAAATGATTAAAGATATCTTACTGGAATTCTCCAAGGTTTTTATAACACTATTGAACTCTACTTTGAACAATGTATAATTACTCTCCAAGCTTAACAGAAGAATCGTGATGAAATCGATCATAAATGAAAATGACATATTCATCATTAATTAATCAGCGCTAAGGATCGGAAGCACATGAAGGGTTGCAAGTAAGCTCAAATATATATATATATATATATATATATATATATATATATATATATAAATATATATATTATTCAGAATCATTTTCCAACTTATTCAAGATGATCTTCGCCCTCTCTAACCATCTAACTTTATGTCCTGCAATAACAAGGTATCTCACAGGTTTCACGTACGATTTCATTTTCAAAACTCCTCTCTCACGTGCCAAACGTTTTATGGTTCGAGTTGGATCTTTTCTAATTGATCTATTTATTTCTAAGTTGAAATGATGATCCCCCTTCTTGTTGTGACCTTCTGATCCAGTTTTCCTCTTTACTCTCCCCTCTTTTTGAAACTTATTCACCGTTCTCTTTATGCTTCTTGAATGTACTTTGAAGATGGAAGGCAGGGTATGAATGTTGGTATCATTACTGTAGGCCTCAATGATCGTTTTCCTCTCACCATTGCTCACTTGGGAAGATATAATGGGGCTAGCACAAAACGATTTTAACCAGTTCTCTTTCTAGCTGAATAACTCAAAGGGTTTTTCAGTGATCCGTATGAGAAATAGTGTCAAGATGGCTAATCGTCTTATCTGAGAACCTGGAAAAAAAAGCTCAGTTAGTCTCGTGGTTTTTTAGATATTAAACATTTTGTTAGGTCGACAATTATGCTGTTACACGATTTAGACAATTTTGCTGTTTACACTCGGTATGCTGACTTTAATTACTTATGAACTCATTTGCCACTGAAAGCAACGCGGCTTTTCCTCGCTGTTTTGCGTAATACTCATAATGATTGCTCCTTCCATGAAGGCGTCGTTATTAAATGCAGGTGTTTTTCTGCTATGAATTGATCGCTTTCAGTCGGTGTTTTGGAGAACAGAAGCAAATTTATTGCTCTCTCCTTGTCTTCGGTCGGTGTCTTTAACAAATAATTTGCTATTAATGGCAGACATTTAATTAGAACCAATTTTTCTGTCATTAGGATGTCATTTTTTTTCTTTTAAATTGTGAGCATGTAATGGGACTTTATTTTTACAACCCTAATTGACCAGGCATTTTGGTGGTTTTTTTTTTTCGTTTTTTAAACCCTGCCAGTCAAGGTTATCCGAAGAGTTTCGGTTTTTGTGATTTCAAATTTTGATTTGCTTTTTATTTTATCTGATTAAAATTTCACATTACAATTTGATTACGTTTAGAAGCGAATAATAATAATAATAATAATAATAATAATAATAATAATAATAATAATTCTATGGGACTACACAATACACACTGACAGAACAATCAAGATATTGTTATTAAAGACCACAAACAAAAACGATGCCTCCTTATTGATATGGCAGTCCCTGCTGACTGCAATGTATCTTTGAAGATATTCAAAAAGTTGTCAAAGTACAAGGACCTTGAAATAGAAATCTCGAAAATGTGGCATATGGGAACATCGACAATCCCTGTTGTTGTTGGAGCCCTAGGACTCGTTGGAAAAAGATTGAAGTAGACTAATTGAAGGGATTCCTGGAAGTCCATGCCTCAAGGAGATACAAAAAATTGTTCTGACAAGTACAGCCCACACCTTACGAAGGGCTTTATCTATGTAATTTAATTCTTTTTATTTTTTTTTTGTCAGTGGCAAGTGTCCTGACGCCATTTCTAACCTAAGGTCCCTGGGCGGGACCAGTAAAGAAATGTGTAAACGCCAGAAATCAAAGAAAATAAAAATAATAATAATAATAATAAACAGAGTATCACAAAACTCATAAAACGAATTAAGTAACTGGGCAGACAAATTTCTCGAGACATGTATAAAGAATTGCAGATAAAACGATAGGAGAATGTTTGCAAAGAATGAAGACAATGTTTGCGAAAAGCGACTAAATCAAAATTTTAATGTTAATAGTAATATTTACTGTTTCCTTATAAGGAAACATTCAGCATTCATTGACCGATGAGTCAGTACTACTGTTGGTTGAAATTTATAAAATCTTTCTCTTAAAACAATTTTTCAGGAAAATAAATTTCTCAAGTCCAGCAGCTGTTATCGATCTTGTCATTATTTATGTGTATTTCCTTCCTAACTTTTTGTTTGAAGTAGTGCGAATTATCAACATCTAGATTATATCATTATTTTCTCTTTGAATTACATGTGTGTTGTAAGGGAGAATATTTTTCTGTAAGTTTGGACTCGTCCGTCGGACGAAAACTTATAAATACTCCTGCATCAAGAGGATTAGCAGGAGAATCAGTAGCATCAGTAGCCATTGCTGAACATAGTCATTTACAGCTAAACATTGCCTTTCCCTTGTTTCTAGTCTACATTATATTTCTCTGTACCAAAAGATAATAAACTTGTTGTTAAACCATTTCCGGTTTTCTACTGTTGTTTTTGATAACTCACTTAGAACATTGTGATATCAATTTTTGTTGTAAAAAAAAAGGTTACAAACAGACAAAGGTGGTACTCGAGTGGAAGGAACAGCAATATGGGCGTAGATGGAAGAAAGAGAGGTTTAATGTAAAAGAGAATACACTACTGAAAGACAGGGAGTCGACTAACACTTCCCGAAGCCATCAGACAGACAGACTCCGGTATGTCCTATGCACATTGCATATGTTACTGATTTAGTCAGTCCACAATAGGTAATAAAGAGAGTAGAACATTCTATTACAACAATTCTGTTTGTTGATAGTGTTCGAGTGATGTGCTTTACAATGCGGTCCATTCAATAATAATCATTTCAAGGTATACAAGAAACGGAAAATACTCTATGCAGACTAAGCGTAGATATGAGATCGTCAGTCATAAAATAAGCAAATAAAGCATAGAGTTTTAAAAACTGTATAATTGATTGGTGCCGATTTTGTACTTGTAACTGTATAAACGATTACACAACAAGGAATAAACCAGAATGTGTTGGAAATAATAGTAATAATAATAATATATCTTAAAAAACCTATCAAATTATCATGATCTTGAAGTAGAATTATAACAAAACAAGGCCTATGAGGGCATCAGCAATTCCAGTTGTTGTTGGAACACACGGATTGATTAGAAAAGGTCCAAATAGATTCAGTAAAGGTATTCCTGGTAGTCCACTCCTTAAAGAAATACAAAAATTGTACTCACAGGTACAGCTCACCTTTTACGAAGACCTTTATCTACGTAAAGTGTGTGCGATTTTTTTTACAAAATGATCAGTGGAAAATGTCATGAAGCCATATTTTACCTTAGATCTCAGGTTGGGACCCGGAAATGTATATAAAACAAAAATCAAAAGAAATATTTTTTTTTTTTTAAATTTATAGGTTTATTAATTTAAATTATTTAATAAGTTTCGCATATTTTTCTGACATGTGTTTTTCCTTAATTCCATGTGCTGGTGTTAGGAATAAATAATTACAAATAATAATAATAATAGTAATAATATATATATATATATATATATATATATATATATATATATATATATATATATATATATATATATGAGAAATCGATAGGTCATGGCCATGAATAAACCTATCCTATTTACTTACACCGCCCACCTAGCCAGCATAAATCTTGAGGTCGAGATTGTAATTAACTCTTAGCATGAGCCCTGGACAGATCTAAATTGAAATAGCCAGTTTCCTCTTTCCTCAATCCCCTCGTGACTCATATACACAGCCTGCTACACATATTGCTCACTCATGAACTAGTCGAACTTGGTTTGAAAATCGCACTGAAGAGGGAAGATTATATATATATATATATATATATATATATATATATATATATATATATATATATATTAAATAAAAACAGGCCACTTTAATGTTCCATGTAATAAATTACTTCACCACAGTCCTTTTAAATGACTGCGGATCATCAGACTTTACTTCCAAATGTTGAAACATAAAATGAAAAAAAAATTACATATTTTTGACGGGTCGTATTAAACATATGTAAATTAACGAAGTGAGGAAGTGAGGGGGGGAGAGAGAAGACATGAGTGAGTTAGATTTAATTTAAAATTTCTATACTTTCATACTCAAAATTATTTGAGGAGGTCCAGACATTGACACATTTAAACGGTTAACTTAACGGAAGTTATATATTGATATCGAAGGGGTAGAGGAGAAAAACACATAAAGAGAAAAAGAGAGAAGGAAGTCATGAGAGAAGGTGTCACTAATTTTCTTTGGAAAAAAAAAAGAAACAAAAAAAAAAACCGGCTCGAAAAAGACGCTGTTATTTAGTTTTACTTTGAAAGTGTTATTTTGGGGGTTCATAAAGATTATAATGTTTGATATAAATTTGAATGTCTAAACTGTCTACAAAGAATTTAATTTGATGTTTGTTAGTGATTTAAATTTTTTTAAAAAAATTGTGGATTTTCTATGAAATAGTCGATTAGAAAAATATTCATAGAAAGTACATTAAAAGAATAAAATTGTATTTAAAATATAAGCTTACTTCTAGTAATCTTTTTTATCTTTTTAAATTTGTTTATTATTGATTATTAAGTTGATATCTCTATCCGTTTGAATTTTGTTCACGAATTTAACTCGTGACTGTTTCTAGATAGGTAATCTCTTTTACTTAAATTTTAGTTAAGTTAATATGTGATAATATTTGAAGGTAATATTAAAGATTTGCTCTGTCATATACTGTATACACACCCGTGCAAATCTCACATATACATACGTTCCTTTACATGTGCAATCACTCATACAGGTCC